CCATTTCACAACAGCAGATAGACACCTGCTTTTCCTAGTTTCCAAAACTGAAAAGGGGTTGGCAATGTCTATCTACCTGCCATTTATGAACACTTCTCTGGATGATCCTGCCGTGAGCAGGAAGTTGGACTAGATGAGGTAACTTCCAGACCTATCTTTCTATGTTTTTATAATCACTAAGGGCCAGATTTTGGCCAGGCAATGCCTAATGTGAACCCTCATCTAGCTTTACTCCAGATCCAAACATAATTTCTTCAGCCAATTTTAAAGGGCCAGATTCCAGCCAGTCCCTAAACCTAAACAAACCTAAATACAAATGTTGCTTCATTGACCCATGTCAAAAACAGATGATCAGACTTTAGAAGGAATAGCTCAATGTTTATCTTATTTATCTAAAAGTTATGCTGACAGATTAATAGATACTAGTTAGTTAATAGAAAATAATGTCACTGCTATGGAAACTGTAATATTGCTATATTTCTAAACATATTTTATCCTTACAATAATTACCATTCTTAATTAGCACTGTACATAAAGGCTTAAAATATGCATAACCACTGAAAATAAATATGTCCAAATCACATTAGGATTGCAGTGGGGGTGATAGTCAACTCCATCTCAGTTAAGAGGAATTGTTCCAACACAAAAACATAGAGAACCACTCTTCTCTTGTTCTCCCGTGTCTTTCTCAAAGCACAGTATGACGTATAAAGTTTCTAAATAATTTTTTTTTCAGAAATGTGCCATAAGGCATCAGCCAGTCTTGGAGACTTTGAGTTACAGTCCTTCTGTAACTTCCTTTCACTTTTCCCATCTGTTGGGTGACATGAAATGAAAATAATATCATTTTTATTGGTCTAAATGGAGAAGGCTTTCAAGGCAGGTTCTTAGAGAAAAGTAAAAGCAGAAGTCCTGTTTGAAATATGGAAATCAATCTATGCCTGTGGCATTTGTTGCATGTTTTAACTTTTCAAGGACTGCTGTTAGGAGTTCCTGGTTTGAAAGCAATTGTAACTTTTATGCAAGTTAGTCACATGGATGGATAGTCATTAAAATTTGAGCTCACTTTAAATAGTTGATGTATATTAAATAAAGATAGCTTGGTTTATTATCATCATATAGGATACTGTTAATAATGTATGTTTTTAAATAGTTCAGTATGAAATAAAAATGTTTGGGGCTATTTTAAAGGTTACACACCGTTTAGCTTTTGTGTGAAGGCCATCTAACATATTACCATATAACTAATATATATATTAAAGCTACATTACAACAGCAAGTACAGATTAATGATGAGTAAAAATCTTACAGGGGGTACAGGTTGTAGCCGTGTTGGTCTAAGGACATGGGTAGACAAGGTTCTCTGGGTATATCTGATATCTTTTCTTAGACCAACACAAATAGGTGGAAAAATTCTTCATTGCAAATTTTTGGGTATAAAAATCCATTCATCAGGCTGAGGAAGCATCTGCAATTGGTCTATGCATGAAAGAAAGCCAGGCTAGCATGCATGCCAGCCTCTGGCTTCTTTACTACTCATTCCATCCAGGAAGAGCACACACCAACTGCAGATGCTTCCTCAGCCTGACAAAGGGTATTTATACCCGAAAGCTTGCAAAGAAGAATTTTTCCACCTATTTGAGTTGGTCTAATTAAAAGTATCAGATTTACCCAAAGAAACTTATCTGAGTAAATATCTTGGAATAAAGAGGGCAAGAAAAACTCTTCCCTCTATGTTAGGCATTTTATAATGAATCAGCTGCATAGTTGTGTCCCCCTGCAATACCAGGGGTGACATTCTTGTTCCAGTGTCATCAATAACACAACTCCTTCTGAAAGCAGGATGGTGAACAAGATGGCATTTGATTTAATACAGCATAGCAGGCTAATGCAGAGACCACCTTCTCTGAACTAGGCCATATGGCTATCTCCAGTTCTGTTGTGATCATAGCCTTCCCTACTATATAGCTCTCTCTTATGCTTAAAATAAGTAATCAATAGATAATGCTTAAGTAGATGAATAGTGGAGATTTCTGGTAGTTACATTTTTCAGAACAAACCAGATGTGCACACAGCCACATTTTTCTCCCTTTTCCTTTTTATAACTATATTGACTTACATCCTAACTTAAATTAAGGGCCTCTTCTGCTGCCAATGAAACTAATGGCAAAACTCTCATTGATTTAGCTCAGTGCAGTCCATGGAGCCATTGCATCTGGCCCACAGGGTCAGGACATTTGGCAGTAGAGGAGAAGTGGCCACTAACATAGCCACCCCTGCCCTCTGCCAAATCCTCAAACACCAAGTCCTGTGAAGCGCACTGGGCAGAACCTGGCTGGGCGGGGCCATGCCCCCTTCCCTCCCATTGGGGCTAGGCCATACCCTCTTCAGTCTCTGCATGACCACCCTCTCTTCTCGGCCCCCCCCCTTTCCCACCCCCCAGTGCAGGGCCTAGCGACATTCCCTTCCCTCTCTGTGGGCCTGGGTTGGGGCCTGGCTGGGCCCAACCCTCTTCCCCCTGCAGGGCCCAGCGGTGTTGCCTTGCATCCCTTTCCTTCTCCCTGCGGGATTGCATTGGGGGCTGCCCCCCTCCCACCCCCCACATACACACACACTCCACCATGAGGCCAGATGGTGCTTGCTGTGCCTGCTTGGGTGCCAGATTGCGGCACTGCCAATCCAACACACAAGGCAAAAAGTTTGAGTACTACTGGTTTAACTGATGCAGACTCAGACTGTAAACTAGTTGTTGTGAAAACCATATTTTCCCATATGTTTATGCAGCTTTTACTGAACAGGGCATTTTGGTACACCTGTTAGTGGTCATGTGTGATCATGCAGTTGCACTCTCCAGGTCCAAGTATAACTGGTCTCATAGTGTGGAAGTTGTCCAGTCATCCCAGGCTTCAAAACTTTGCCAGTCACCAATTGGGGTCAAGTAGGAATTTTATTCCCCTTGTGATTGCTACTGGCTTCTGAAGCAGGGGGGTTGCTTTCCTCTGTGGCATTCAGTGTGGCAGAGGCGATATCTTTTATTAGACCAAGTAGACAGTTGCACAAAAACATTCTTTATTTGCAAGCTTTTGGGCACGTGCACCCTTCCTCAGGCATAGGAGAATGCAAAGATTGTAAAATTTCTCCCAGGTAGAAATGAAAACTCATATTGCACAGGAAAGCTGGAGGGTGGTGTAAATTCTCCTGGTTGGAAAAGGTCATTTTATGCAAATTAGGCTTGGATAAAAGTTGGAGCAGTCTATTTACCTCGAAGGTGTCTGATGGAAATCAGGATGTTGAATTATGCTTCTTTCTTGTTAAGATGATTCATATTTCACAGGAGGATTGGTGATGGAAATGTTCTCCTGGGCAAGGAATTTGTTGTGTTGAAGTTGCTCTGCAAGTATGCAAATTTGGCTCAAACCAAAAGGCTGGAGCGGGGGGGAGGGGGGGGGGGTAGATTCCAGGTCCAAAGGTGTTGAATTTTGCTTCCTTCTTGTAAAATTATGAGGTTTTATATCTTCCATGTTTCAGGGATAACGGTTGTAGCTGTGTTGGTCTAAAAGTACAAGCAGTCAGTGTGGTAGAAGTGATCTCTTTCATTAGACTACTGTAACTAGACAGTTCTGGCCAAAGTGCCATACCAAGAAAATTTTTTGTTACTAAGGCTGGAGGCAGGGCAGGGGGAATTAGGTGAGCTGATGTTCTTGCTAGCTCTAGCAACCCAGACGCTTGTCGTTAGAGAACCTTGCTCTTCTGTTCAGGGTCATATTGACTGCTAAATTTGGGGTCAGGAAGAAATCTGTCTCAGGTCAGACTGATACGGACTCTGGGGGGCTTTTGCTTTCCTCTGCAGCAGTGGGGCTAGTCCTTTTCCTAGGGACTTCTGCAGTTGTAGGGCATTGGGAATGCCCTTGTCTCCCCAACTTTTACCTGTGGCACATAATAGAGTGCTTTGTGTTTCACGTATCATGCCTTTCAGGTCTAGGTGAGGATTTAAAGTGATGCAGGGGACTCCTTTGGTTAATAAAAGCCTGTGAATACAGGGGACTTGACTCGATGGCCAAGGAGACCCCTTCCAGCCCTATATTCCTATTGCTACAAAGGTGTCTGAATATTACCACAAAACAAACAGCCGCAACATAACCCCAATAGGGTTTTAGACAACACCGAATAAGGACATTTGTGAAGTACTGTGATGACATGATTTTTCCTAAGGTGATGTTTTGCTGGTGGTTGAAAGCATAGGGATCTGACAGGCCTAAACACACATGTGGTATCAAGCCAGTGAGCCACAGCAATGGTTCCACAAGATTAATCACAGGGTACAGCGGGCCACAATAAGTAAAAATGAAATGGCAACCACAAGTTGTCAGAGTACTCAGCACCTCCAAAAATTAGGGTATTTGCCTAAACATGGTTTTAGGAGCCTAATTTTGATCCTAGCTGCATCCTTTGAGCCCTGTTAATCATAGTCTCAGTGGCAGTAGTACTAGGAAGCAGCAGCGGTGAGAGAGGTTGGACCAGCTATAGCACCAGCAGCTGCTGTTTTTGCAGCCCCTCTAAATACTGCATAGTCTGTTACTTCAGAAGAAAAGCCTGGAATTTGCTCTTTATCTTCATTCTTGAAGCTGTAGTAAAGGGGTCATAAAGGTTTAGGGCTACTGACCTTCAGAACAGGGCAGGCAGATCTTCCCAACTTGTGACCTTTGGTGTAAAACTCAGAATTTGGCAGAATTTCTCAGGATCTCAGGACTGCTTCTAATAACCTCAGTGTTTAAAGTACAGCAGCTGTGCTGTGTTGACCAGGCACTATCCCAACAGTGGATTATGTTCTCACCATTGCCTAGGTTCACATACAGCAAGGGGATGCTATCATCTTGGCTTAGATTATTCTATTCTTAGAAAAGCCAGCATTTCTTTAATGCCATCTAGTTTTCAAGCTCAGAGTGGGATAAAGAAGAACAAGTTTTGTATTTACATGATCTTTATTGGAGACACATATAAAAAAAATGGGACTGATCAGGGAACCAGGACAGGGTCAAAACTATCCCTAAGCTATGCGTCACTTCAGTGTTTCTTCACTCTTGCTGGACTGCAATGGTTATTTTTAAGAATTTTAACTCAAAGAAATGTGTTCTCAGACCAGGGTGTGGGGTTTGCCGAAAGCACTCGCTTTTAATGCTGTGGGTGGGCACCACCGTGTGGCCAGTTTGAGTTTGTTCCATTTAAAGCTACAAATTTGTTTAGCCGTCCTCCCCCTCCACTTAAATCTCCTTTTCTATTTTGTAACGAATGAGGAAGACATCAAATATCTGTAACTGGATTCTGACCACCAGGTCTTTCTGTTGTCCTTCTCTGTTAGCACTCAAGACGCACATAATTTCTTATGGTTTTATAGGGTATGGGGGGAGTTATTTTTTACTTTGTCTAACCAATGACTTAGATTTCTACACCAAGTGTTACCCTAAAGCATTTGCAATTCTGGCCCAAGAAATAAAAAAAGCAATGTCGTGGAAAAATCTCTATATTTAGTGATTTTTTTAAAAGATTTTCCAGGAATTTAAATGTTTATCTTCCCTTCAAATACAATACGAAGCTGTGTTCTGTCATTTTTATAATTATTAAAAATATTGCATCTCTTCACCCAAAATTCTGCATTTGACATTCTTGAAAATATATACAGTATACATAATACAAATGTAAAACATGTTAAATCATACATCTTTTACAGTCATAAAATAAAAAAGCATATAAATAGCCTGAGCTCTGGCACCTGGTTCTCTCTCCTACCTGATCCAGAGGCAGCCCTCATCCTGGCCCTGGGACCTGGGCTCTCCCCTGCCCAGTGAGAAGGCAGGCACTCCCCAGCTTTGCAATTGTGCGATTTGGATCTGTGAGGAATTTTATCCTCAATCCCCAAAACTGTATATCCTGGCAGGATGTATGATTTTGGGGCTTGGGCATAAGACTCCTCAGAGTCCATCTGTGCAATCATTTTAATGTCTGCCAGGCACCTCAGTCTTACCTAGATTGTTTATCATTTGGTTGCTGTCCTCTGGATTCTCTCCAGTTGGCCACAATTTTCTTGAAGTGTGATGTTCTAATCTGAGCACATTCCTGCAGCTCAGCCCTTACCACTGGCTGAGTAAAGTGGAAGAATCGCTTTTTGTGACTCATATACAGCACTTATTATACATCCCAGAAGTTTGCTTGGTTGCATCAGCATGACCTTGTTAACTCAGTTTTTGATCTCGTTCTGTGCGACTGTTCCCCATTCTGTACTTGTGCAGTTAATTATTTCTGCTTAAGAGCATTATTTTGCAATTGTCCTTGCTGAAGCATCCTATCTATTTCAGACCATTTCTCTGATCAAGATCATTTTGAATTTCAATCGTGTCCTGCAAAATGCTTTCAGTAGTTCCCAGCCTTGCTTCCTTTGCTAATTTAATACATGTACTCTCTTTTCTATCATCCAAGTTATTAATGGGAATACTGAACAGTATATGACCTAACGAAAACCCTTGCTGAATCCTACTTGATGCATACTTCAATTATGACAGTGATCCATGAGTATGGTTTTACAACCTGTTATGCACTGAAATGCCTCCAGGGCAGCATTTCATGCTCTTTTGGATTTCTTGGATAGCTTCATGCGGGTTGTGGATCTAGGTGGAAGGAAATCAGCATGAGAGGACTTCCAGCGCGTCAGAGCAGACTCAATTAATCAAACCTGCTGAAGCATGGGAGAATACTAAGGAAACTCAAAGGTAAACTTACGTAGCTTTCTGGCTATACACAGGTATGTCCATACAGTGGTACGATCTGGCTTATAATGTTTACTTCTCAAATGATAGGTCTAATGATATTGTGAAGACTCCAAAGATAAAGGCTATTATAACATTCATGTTAAGTTATAGAGAATCATATGTTTAGGTTGACACAAAGAACCTAAAATATCTATAATCTGCTTTAAAGTAAAATATTAAGAAACATCAAAAGATTTGAAAGGTCTGTTTTTAAAATTTTATTGAAAAATATCTATAAATAATAGATGTCTACGAATCCATATCATACGGAAGTAAATATAATTTATCTTCCCTTCAGGCTGTGCTCTGTCATTTTTATAATTATTAAAAATATTGCATTTCTTCACCCAAAATTCTGTACTGATATTCTTGTGTACAGTATACACAATACAAATGGAAAACATGTTAAATTATAAATCTTTTAACTACAGTCATGCTATAAAAAAGAATCTAAATGTAATTAGCCACATTTGTACACTCAAAGGGAGGGAATTTATTTGCTTCTATAAGGATTGCTGCAAAAGCAAATGTAGTTTCTCTGACTCCTCAGACTGAAGTAAGGCCCACTTCTTTTTTATATACTGGATGTCTATTATTCCAGATTCTTTGGCCAGTACAATCCCCAAGAGCCCGTTTTTTTTTTCTGGTTCACCCAGTACAGCCATGGTCAGAACCCTGATAAAAACAGAAGGTTTTTTATATTTGTTTTTTTAATGGCAAGAAAATAAATGAAAGTAGAACATTATCCTTCAAAATTGTACTAACTGTTTCCAAAAGCTTTCTAATAGGAAACTATAATGAATTGCATTGCCTTCTGAAAAAGCTAAATAAAATGCCAGGAATGGAAATGTAGGAAAACACAGTGCTATAACAAGCAACAAGGAAAGGACCAGTCTGAAGCAATCATTTTATATCTATACATTTTAAGGAAAATTCTGATCTTGGTAGGCAACCTCCACATAATCATATTTCTAATCATGCATTACAAATTGGTTCAAAATTCTAAATGATTATTTTATATAACATTGAAAAAATGGTATAAAAACACAGCCTTTTAAAAAAAAAGTTACTATAATAATTTTTTTAAGTCTTTCAGAACCATTGAACCTAGCTACTCTTATCTTATTGAATGAACTTCTACAAAATAAGATTCAAATCTAGGTGATTTTCTGGTTTCTATTTTAAACAGCCACAATTTATTTCTCTCTATAGTTAAACATGTACAATATGCACGAAGTTTGTAAGTATCGTTCTCTCTAACTTTTCCTGCATTGCAGGATAAATTCCTAAGACAGACAAGGGACCCTCCTTCCCTCCCTCCTTCAGTAAATCTTTGAGTGATCCAGGTGGTTTCAATGGGAACAGAATTTGTTCATTTATAACAGCTCAATTCTGCAGCTGCTCCATGAACATAACTCCCACTTATAACACTTAGCCTGATTTTAATTTACATTACAAGTTTTTCACTTCTCTGACAGCGTAAAGGGCCTGCTAAATAGTCATCAATGAATGGTCATTCACTTTAACGCCTCTTTACACTGCTACAAAACAGCACACAGCATGCCAGTGCAAGCTCAACTGCATTTGTATGTGCAACTTGCCAGAGGGTCTGCCTATTGTGCATTGGACTCAGTCACTCAAGAAGCTGTGGTGGTAACTGGTAACCTACCAGGAGTACAACCACCAATAGTCTCCTGAAACCAATGGCTGCCAATGAAGGACACTGCTGCAGCATGTAAAATGACAGTGAAATAAATGAAATCAGGCCCAATCTAAGTTGCATGCTAGCAACACCTAAAAATTCAGGCTTGCTGGAAGCATTCAGTTAAACACATTTTGACAAAAAGACAGATTCAGTGTAATGTTGATATTTTATAACTGCAAGAAAAAGCAAGAGTTATGCAATTTACTTACCTATCAGACTGAATAATTTGTTTGGCTACAGGCCACAAATCATTTTCCAGTAGATCCCACACATAAACATTAGATGATGCATCCAGGACTAAAAACACAGCAGGTCTCGTTAGAGCCCACTGAAGGGCAATAACTGGCTGGCCATCCGTGCTGTCATTCCACTGCAGGAGGGGATACTCGGATGTCATCTGGTGCAATCTAATGCTTCCATCTGAACAGCCAACCTGTATGACAAAACAAAGACAAGTCTTGTATGCAAAACAAACTAATCAAGAGTAAAAATTACAATCCTGCGGTTGGAAAGTTGAGGCATGTTGTTCTCTATAAATAAACACAGAGCTATCTAACATATAATGATGCATCACTATTACACTTCAGTCTATGGACAGCAAGGAATTTTCCAGTTTTTAACTTCTAGTATTTTCTTCAGTTTGACTGGTCTTTAGCAAACTGCAGTAATCCAAATATGGAGGTTCCAAAGACGTATTTGGATAAAATCTCTATCCAGAAGGAAAATCTACAGTCTCCTGGAGTGTTTTTTATGTCTGTAGTTCATAAGATCACCTCCAACTGAGACCTGCAAATGTCGCCAAAGATTAAAAAATGACCCTTAAACTGCAAATCTCAATAAGGCCCTGATCCTGCACAACTGAAATCAATCCTAAGCTTTGCCACTGACTTCAGTGGGGGATGGATCAGAACCCAATGTCCCAATTCAGCAAGGTTCTAAATTATACAGGTAAGTGGTAAACTGCAGAACAGCCTTGCTGATATCTTAATAATGTGCTGTGTACTTTATTATCTTGCTGAACTGGGGAATAACAAAAGTTGAATATATACACGCCTTAATAAATTCAGATACATTCTACATCATTTCCTCTAGATCAGGGGTTGGCAACATTTTTGGGCAGTGTGCCAAAATAACTGCAATCTCTACTTGGAAGATGTTGGCGTGCTAGGGAGGGGTGGCAGAGAAGCCACGAGGGGCCTGATCCTTGTTGTTGCAGTGCAGCCCGGGCCTCTTCCCCACTGTCTGCCCTGAGGCACACATGCCAAACAAAATGCCTTCACGTGCCATGCTCTGGCATGCATGCTGGGGGTTGCCAACTCTTGTTCTAGATACTGTGTTCTAACTATAAGCGTCACCTCAGCCTTGTCTAGAATAAGCTCTAGCCGGTGCCTTAATCTAAGATAGCAAAAATACATTATACTACTTATGTTTAATGAAAGAAAGAACTGAAAGCATTTATGGCTTTGCAGCCCAAGGCACCTCCCTATTTCCTATGTGACCTCACACATACTTTATACAAGAGAGAAAAAAAAAAGCACAGAGTAGATGATTCACGTTGTTGGATCTGTGTATAGAGTGAAACAGATTTAATAAGCTCAAAACTAAAAGGTGTTAAGTCAGTCAAAAAGACTCCAATTGCTTTGCAAGAACATTCTTATAACCTTTCTTTAAAAAGGATGGTATAAGTGTCAGGAAATGGCTTCTTAACAAGGGGGAAACAACTGCTTTTTATGGAAATATTAGTATTTTCCAAGAACAATGCCACACTTTTTTTCACTATTCCTCTAACTTAACAAGCTGACGTTTATCCTACAGGATGTTGCAGGAAAAAAAGCTTATTAAAGCAGAGTTAATTTTGGATTTGCTTATATCTAGGATGGCCTTTGCCAGACAATTCAGTATGATCTAACTAACACTATCCTATTCCTCATAGACAAAAATGCAGTTTTCTAAAGGTACTACAGAATGCGTGTACATGTTAGATAAATCACATCTAATTTATACCCTGTACCATCACTTACAGTGATATGTCAGGAAAGATTTGTCCCTTAACCATTATCCTAAAGCAGATCTAACCTAACTTGATGCCCAAATACGCCTATAGGATTTCCTATTTTAATCATATTCACCTAGTATTGAACAAGGTTTCACAAGTGAGACAACTAAAAGATTGTGTCCATGTTTGCTATACAAGAAAACTACCCAGACTCAGATACAGAATAATATACCACTGCAGTAATAAGTCATGTATTTCCACTTGAAGTGAAAGTATTGTACTAAATCTTTATTAAAACAGTCAACAAATTCTAAGGTAATAGCTCTAGTGGGATTGTAACACTTCTCCATCTTTCAGCATGTGCTGAGTTTAATCAAAATATACAACACTTGTTTGCCACATTTGAAGAAGGTTTTGAACTGGGAATGTCAACTGATTGCGACTTCTGATGCTGACTTAGCAATCTCCCCCCTAACAAGTAATCAAAAATGAAATTATTTTTAGATAAAAAAGCTTCCTTACCAAAAATATTGGTTTTCCAAAAGGGGAGAAATCAACTGCATTGACTCTTACTGATCGTGGTCCACCCTGCTGGGGTTTGAATAGCTTTGGAGGTATTCTTAAGTCATGTCTCGTGCCATGACTTACCAGACCCTGTTAATAACATAAAATCAGAAATAAATTCTATATTATCAGTGTTTATATATTAAAAGAAAAACCATGTACACCCTTAAATCTTCATTACCAATTAGCAAAATAAACTACTTTTAATAATTATTTCAAACCATAAATATTCACAAATGAAGCACCAGTAGAAATCCAAAGAAACGTTTATTATAACAACAATGGAAGAGGAAAGATATCAATAATGCAATGAAATATTTACTCACAATATTTGTCCCAACAATAAAATGATTAGGATTAGAAGGCTGAAACTTAATATTCAGAGTCAGGGGTGTCTTCAGGCACATCATATCTTTTGGGAAAAGGCTGGGGAAATGCAAAAGTAAAAAAGCAAAATAAACAGATGGAAATCACCCAAAGCAATGCAAATATGTTACAGAACAGCAGTACTCTACCTTTTTTGCCCCAGAGGGCTGAATGGGCAGCGCCAGTGGGCCCAATCTTGCACATGGGGTTGGCATGGCGGGTCCAATCCAGCCATGCAGAGAAAGGCAGGAAACTATCCAGTGCCAACCCAGCTGCACAGGGGGAAGGGGCATTGCCTGGCCCTGGCAGGGCCATACAAGGGAAAAAGGTGTGGCCCAGTCCCAACCTGGCTGGGCAAAGGTTGAAAATTTGGCGCTGGGAGAGGAGTGGCAGCATTGCTACTGCTTGCCTGCCACCAAATTTCCCAACCCATGGGGAGCCCTGCAGGCTACATTTGGCCCTCAGGCCAGAGGTTAAACACCCCTGTTATAGAAGGTCTTACTGTTCTTAGTATTAAACATTTGTTACAGAATCTTAGCCCAATTCATTTGTCCATGCACTAATGTGCCATGTAAGAGCTTTATAAAACAGGAAGATCTTCCACATTTTGACACAGCTTTCTGGCAAGCGTGCATATTTTCAAAAGCAATTAATTACTGAAAATTCCAATGAACCCACATTAGGTAACAGTCTTTTTCTAGGGAAGAATTATCTTTGTGGTACAAAATCTAGTAGATACCATTTTTCTTACCTGTCATTCAACTGAACAGTAGAGCTATGTACCAATTTTACTTTCCCACCAGGAATTAAACCTGAAATTATAAGTAAATATTCTTAACATGAAAGAGGACTCCACTTCAGTAAAATAAGTTACATATCACTGCTAGATTAAACACACTGGATTTCTCTAACTTTAAAGGAAACTTTCAAAGAATCAAAAACATTGCTGGTGGCAGTATAGCATAATTGTGTTTAAATATTTATTATAAGTTTTTTTAAAAAATACTTTATTATTAGTGTAAATAAGCTGGTTAATGAGTAAAGACTACATGCCAAATGTCCAAAATTTAAAAATCTAAAAAACTTCTCACAGAGCCATGCATGCAATTCTTAATTTGTTTAAAGTAAAGAAAGTATATTTTTCCCCATTCAGATATGCCACAACAGCTGAATGGATTTTCATTTTTTTTGGTAGAGCCCAAATATCACATTTTCCAAATATAGACGTTTCAGCCCAAAAGGAGAACTTGTAAGAAAGTTACAGTTGACGAAATGCAGGCTACAGTAGATGTGATGTTACAACTCTAATTAAAGCTAAATAGCTGGATGATTGGTAGGGACATACATTCCAGTGGTGATGAAGAAAATTGTCAGACAAGTAGGGAAAACTGCTTCAATGAAGTAGCAATCAGATGCCCCTAAAGGGAAGAGCTGGCAGTGTGGTAGGTAATGGTTATTCCACTGGCAGTGAGAATAGGGCTTGTGAAACTCTGTAGATGAGGCATCTTTCATACATGTTATTAAACTCCAAGGCTCTATTCCCCACAAGTGATCTTCTGTTCCTCCAAACTATTTGACTGTCCTATTACTAGCTGTGTTGTATTCAGTGCTTTCTTCCTCCCTCCCATTCAGAGTTATTAATGTTTCTTCTTGTGTAAAGACTTACCTAAATCACTTTGTGAACCAGCTATATCCACTTTTTGTAATTCAACTACAACCTGAAAAGGACAATGATTCAAAATTAGCAGCTACCTAATATTAACAAAACCCACAACTGATGTAGGCATTTTTAGGGTCCCTACCACAGTTCCATATGAGCATCTATAACAGAACTAAGTTTAACATTACAGTGATTATGGGCTTATTCCATTGTATAAGGCTGTCACCGGTACGTGTTAGGATGAACCCACCATACCCTTATCAAGCCCTTGTCCAGGAAGGGCTGGCTATAACAAATAATTTGACCCAGTTCAGCTCCCACTGAACTTAGTGGGAGCTTTGCTGGGTTTGAACCAGTGATGTAAATGTGAAAGCAATCTAGCAATCTAGTTCCCCAAATACGATTAACTTAATTGTAATAATAGGAAATAGCAGACAGTACAATCAGGCAAATACTTCAGAAAGCGCAGCAATATTTCTAGTTTATCAGTATTAGTCTGAAAGAAGTCTCAAAGATAGTCTACAGCACACTACCTTACAGGTAACAAATGCGCCTGTCTATTGGCACTGGTTAGGCTTCATCTACAGTGTTGTGGGCAGTTTTGGACTCCACATTTTAAGAAGGATATAAAAATGTTGGAAAGGGTCGAGAGGTGAGTGCAAGAAATGATAAAAGGATTAGAAGGCAAGCTGTATGAGGAAAGGTTGAGAGAACTATGTATGCTTAGCCTGGAGAAAAGAAAATTAAGGGGGGAGGAGTACGATCATGGTTTTGGAACCACGGATATGGAAAGATTGCCATAAAGAAGATAGAGAACAATTACGTTCCCTTGCTGCACTATTTTTAAACTGCAATGGCTTTAAAACCACAGCGAAGTAGACATTGATCAGATCTCAGGAAAAAAACCTGTTAAAACAAGAAAGCAATGGAACACTGCCCAGAGATGAGGCTTCCTGGATCCAGTACCCAACACAAGTTCTGCCCTATAGGAAGTTTATGGTATGAAGGAACCAGGTCATGCAGAATACCAGTAAAATGGCTATTTGTGCCACATTTAGGTGAAGGAAACATTCTTATTTGAAATCCTGAAGATTTGCTACCTCTTTTAAAATAAATTTTATCTTCTTGAAATGCAATATTCTTCCTCCTCTTACATTTACTTACCCACAGATTCAGAATTCCAGTTTCATCGATTGAAGCTATCTGGAATGAAAGGCCTGACATTTCTATGGGAGGAAAAGTATAATAATTTAGTAATAACAACTTGCATTTACATAACACTTTCAACCCAAAGGATACCAAAGACTTTCAAACATTTAATATCCTGGTGTATTAAGCATGAGCCCCATGCTGCTCTCCTCTGTGATGAAAAAGTGGCCAAATATAAACTGAAGGAAAGAAGGGGTACTACACTGGCATGCTGTGTCTTCAGTTGCCCAGCCCTGGAAATTTTCTGCATCTCTTTACATGCTTGGATTCTGCACGGTTTTGCAGGCAAAACAAGAAGTGGGAAGACATATGCCATCTGCATGGTACAGCAAGCTCTTCTCTGTAAACCTTTAGTTTCAGAGTGTATTTCTGCTCTGGAGTTAATGCTGTCTTCTACCACAGAGCCTGGAGGAGCTGGGGATATAGGATCCAAGGCAGCATGTCTCTATGTGTAGGGTCAATAAAGAAATTAGGGAAAATGCACAAGAATAGTGAGTTCAGTGGCACACTGTGAGTGTTTTCAGAAATGAACACTGCTCTATAGAGTCAGATAGCCTCATCTCTCACCCTTTCTACTCCCCCCAGAAACTACCTCAGAAGGAAGTATTTGTGGAAACTTGTTTTACTGTAGGAGGATTTAGAATGGTTTTGTACATAACAGTCAAAACACACATACACTCAACTGTAGTAAAAGAGCCCACAATAATGTCATAATAGCTTTTAGAGAGGTAGTTATCTGTGGTAGTCTGAACTAAGGACAGAGGCATGGTAGTGTGGTACCTCAGAGACTAATTAATTCAGAGTGGCATGCATTTTGGTATGTAACAGCTTACTTCATCAGATGCTATGAGTGGATTTGCAGAGAGCAGGGGTAATAAAAAGACACGAATAAAGTAATTTAAATACAAATAATAGGAAAATGGGGAGGAAAGGATTGAGGCAAAGGGAGCTGCTGAGAAAGGTAAAGGTAGGTTGAGGAGACCAAAAGGGGTAAATAAAGCAGTTAACCCATTGAAGGACATAATAGTTATAAAAGCTAGTTCAGATAATAGACTAATAGCTTATAAGGAAGAAAATGAAGACTGATGTTGTATTCCAATGCAATTATGTAGGATTTTAAAGAGGCAGAATGCATCTGGAAATTAGAATTTGGCTAGGGCACTGTAAAATACCTAGCATAAGGTATTTATTTAACTATAAGGAAAATATCACATCCATTATATTTTTAAAGAACAATTCACATACCTTCTTGAGAAGAGAGGCCTGAGAGCCCATAGGAACTCTGTTCCTTGTAGACAGAAGTTGAAACAGGTTCTATGGCTTGTACAGAACATGTGTGGTTTACTGAGGTGAGAACACCATCTGTAGTTAGAGTTAATAAGTGCTGTACTATTTAAAAACAACAAGCAAGTTGCACATTTAGATTATAAAATTCAGGATTATAAGTAGCCAAGGAGGACAAATAATGAACTGTATTAAAAACATGTTAAATAAAATACTTCGGATAAACAATCTTCTATCTTTTTTTAAATTTTTCATTGCCCAAATTACTGCAGCATCATTTGTGCTATTGCATGATACACTTGGACATATTAACTTCAAGTTCTAAATGGGAAATACAAAATTGGTAGAGAAATAAGTCATCCAAAGCTGTTAAGCTTTTTTTAATGAAAAAGTCAATTAGTATTTCCAAAGAAAAAGTCTGGAAATTGAAAATATGCATTTATTATTTAAGAAGAAGTTATTTAGGAAAAAAACTATTTCAGTTCATAGCCCCCAATTGGAGATTCTGATTTCCAAAGACTTGCTGCTGAAACTCAGTATTATTTTCATTCAAGATTTAAGGAAACAGGCTCCTTAAGTTTTCAGCATTAAACTCTTGTTGCTGATATAAATCACGAGCCACAACACAAGTGGATGCTCTGTTGCTGGCATACCATGTCACTCAAGACCAAAAGCCTGTAATCCCCTAAAAAATCCATTAACAACCAACCTATGAAGCCTAAAGCCAGTAAGATTCCACAAATATGCAAAGGTTCAGTCATGCAGATTTAACTAAAGGATCAGGGAAGTAACTCTAGAGTGATTTTTAAATGGGTGCTATTGTATGTAGATATTGTTTGGAATAAGTTGCAAATTCAACAAACTCTGATTTTCCTTGTTGGCCTCAACCTCATTACCCCACTCCTGCTGTGACTGCCTCATTAGGGCTAGCCCACACCTGCAGGCTGCCCTGCTGCCTGCTCTCAAACGTTAAAGTAGCAGGCACCAAAGGTGCCCTCCCACACACGGTTTCTAGTTTATTTATTTTTTCCCACCATTCCCAGTGCAGTCCATCTAACTTGAACGGATGCCTTCATAAAAAGGCATAAACTAATAATAATCTAAATTTCAAACTAATTTGAAAAGTGCAAAAGATGCACGCATGAATAATGCAAGCCTAGGTGAAATCAAAATTTAACAGATGTTCTATGATTTGATGTTCTGTGCCCAATGAATAGATGGAGGGGTCATAAACAGTGACAGAGGAGATAACTCTGCTAAAAATGTAATAGTAAATGGATAAAGCTTGGAGGTGATAAAAATTACACTGGTAACAACCTAACTCAAATGCACCTAATTTGAGAGTTTAATGGAAAGTCACTTGGTAAGATTTTCAGAAGTGCCTAGGTCAGTAACTATGGTTAGAAATTTAAGTGCAAGTGAGCTGCCTCTTCAAACTTGCATTTTTCTATTCCAGTCCCTTGATGTGTGTATCTTACCCTACCTTACACCCACTGCTGATAGTGGGTGTGCCATCCTACATACTTTCTCTAGCATAGCTAAACTAGGTTAAAGATCCCTTTGATTTCTTAGCAGAATTTATGACAGACAATTTTATTGCATGCAGAATGATTGTTTATAACACACTTTATACTGACCAGTGGAAAATGTTGGAGCTCTAAATATCCAGTCAGTTTCATTGAACTTCATACAACGATGCAGTCTTGAGTCTTCCCTGAGATCCCACACTAACAAAGAACCATCCACTGTTCCAGCAAATACTAAAGTTGCTTTATTGGGACTAAAGCAGCAGCATATTACCTGTGAGAGGACAAAAATATTAGAAGGAGAATAAAGATTTGATTCAGCTAAGTTTATACGTGTTCTTCCAAGGCTCAGATGTCCAGAAAGACTAGAGATGCTTGCTCAATGGGAGGCCAACCTATTTAAAGGGAAGTATGACAGGCTGCAGAAAGCCTCCCATCTCCTCTCTAGAGTATTGCTGGTTTGTTCCTACTTTGCTAAAAAGTGAATAGGTGAAATTTTACTGTATAGTAATAGTTTTAGAAGCATATAGGTCCTGACAACCTTTGGGCCTAAATTAAAACAAAATTTGTTCCTCTCTCAGCAACCCAACAACAAAATGCAAAATGTAATGGGGCATTGTTTTGCTCACTGAGCGCAATCATGTGTACAAATTATATATTGCACTAGGATTGAAAAGTACAGTATGCATCCTGAATTAATTCATTAAATAGGCAATTGTGTAATAGCTTTAAACTGTACCTCGGAGTCACAAACTAGGACTTTCTGAGGGCTGGAAGGCTGCCAGACATTCCATACACATATGATATACTTCCTGTCCAGTAGAATGGCAGCTGGCTTTTTAGGTAACCCATGAACAGAAAGTAATGCCTGCCTTTGAACCTGAGAAACGTGCAGACAGGAGACTTTTCGATCTACATCAAAATGAAAATGGAAAACTTGTTGAAAATGAGAGAATAGCAGTAACCTACGAGACTAAAGAGTAATTTAAAAGAAAATGTCAACATTAATCATAGGGTGCTCTGATACCAGAGCAGGAAAGAGAATGGCATAGAGTAGTCCTTCTCAACTTTTTTAGAGTCATGGTACCCCTCAAAAATGTCAGCTCTTAGTTTCCACTAAATTTTTGGCTACAGAAAAATAGTAGAGCAATTACGCTGATGCAAAGAACTCAGAAAGAACACAACAGGTCAGAATGCTTTTAACCCTGTGGATTCCCATTTGAAATCTCTGGATTTATTTTGCAAACCATGTTTGCACACCTACCAGTTCTAACACTGCATGGCACGCCTGGCTGAGAACCACTGGCACAGAAGGAGAGGACAGAACTATTCACTCATCTCAAAATTGAATTTCAGTGAGAGAAACAAAAATAGGAAAAATAAATCCTAAGCAACTACTCTTAGCTGCCAGGAGGCAGAGAATATGCAGAATTTTGGGAACATCCAATGCCTGACATTCTCATGAAGAGGTGCAAGTACTGTGAGAGAAACTAGTACCACAAACAAAAGATTGGCAGTAGGGGCAAGACCGTAGAATCGGAAATGTAGGCATCTCCAAGTACAATAAATGCATTTTTCTGATGTACTTCTTGTGCTTATATTATTATTAGGCCTGTGCAAAGCGGCCATCCTAAAATTCCCCATAGCCCCCTTTAGCCACCCCTCCCAGCAGTGCCAGCTGCTGCCACTGCATGCCTTGCACAGGCAGTGGCAGCTAAGCCCACCCCGCTCCCACCCGCAGCACAGCTACCCCTCAGGCCCTGCACCAGGAAAAGGCTGGCGCCACTGCTGCCTGCCAGTGCTGCTGGGGCTGGTCTCCAGAGAAACCCCGGTCTTGCACTATCACAGTGCAGCTGCTGCTAAGGTCTCCATGGAAACCAGCCCCAGTCTCACAGGCAGGAGCTGCTGGGACATGTAGTCTACTATCGGCCAGATTTGGCCTGCAGCCTGGACTTTGCCTGCCCCTGCCTTAAGGCAACGAGGGCAGTGGGGCTGTAACCCCGGAAATGGAGAGGCTGTGTAGTCAGGGTAGGATGAACACTCCAAGCTCACTGGTCTCTAAAGGCAGCCACCCCACTTCTTACTTAAACATTAAGGCATGGCAGGAGAATCAGCAGTGAGAGTGGGCTAGTAGGGCAGGATCAAAGTGGCCACTAGGGGGTGACACAGCTGTCCTTGGAGCCTGTCCAGCTACAATACTAAAAATAATACAGTGAATTTATCTTACCATGGAGGAATGGTTGATTAGTATTTAACTGAAAGCAACTATCACTAATAGACAGACTAGTTTGTCTAGATCTTAGGTTCCACCTCGGCTGTGTTGCAACTCGATCTTCCTCAAGCAAAACAGCAATCACCTTTAAAAACACAATTAATAACACATACAGACAGATCTTTACCTTTTAGGAACATAAGGTAACATAAAAAGTAAATCAAACCAGAAGGTCATTTAGCCCCATACCCGGTCTCCCCCAGATGCTAAGGAGAAGAGTAGATATGGAGGGCCTAACCAGGCTGATCTGTCCCCTACTCCTCTCCTCTTATAGCTTCCAGCACTGAAACCCTATAAAGTCCTAAACTGTAGCCCTAATTATAATGTTTAATACCCACTGATAAACCTAACCTGCATTAATTTGTCTAATCCTCTTTTGAACCTGGTTAGTTAACCAGGTTAATTTATCAGTCTCTTCAACACCTTGTGGCAATGAGTTTCAGCCTTTTTATTTGCAACTTCTGATCAACTCTCTTGATAATTTCACTGATTTTCAAAATAAGGCTTAAAGAGGTCTGTCACACTGCACAATTGTTCATATAACAAATAGTATTTAAGTATACAGGTTTCCCTCGCTTTATGTGGGTTCTGTATGTGCAAATTCACTCACTATGCCAGACAAGAAAGCTGATATTTTTAACAGTTTCTTTGCATCTGTCTTCTTGAACAGGGACCAGGATATCCCACCTACCAGAGGTAGGGACAATCTTGGGGATAGCTCTATCAGGCCTTCAGTCAGCACAGATGTGTTAGGGATCTTCTGGAAGGGCTAGACATTTTTAAATCTGCAGGTCCAGATGCCCTCCACCCAAGGGTGTTGAGGGCGCTGGCAGGGGTCATTGTGGAGCCCCTGGCCCAGCTGTATGAGCATTCGTGGCCATCTGGCCAGGTGCCGGGGGATTGGAAACTGGCTAATGTGGTCCCAATTTTCAAGAAGGGGAGGAAGGAGGACCCAAGTAACTATAGGTCTGTAAGCCTCACCTCAGTGCTCGGGAAGCTCTTGGAGAGGATCATTAAGGAGCACATCTGTGGGGGGCCTGCAGGGGAGATCATGCTCAGGGGCAATCAGCATGGATTCATCAAAGGCAGGTCCTGCCTGGCCAACCTGATTGCCTTTTATGACCAAGTAACTAAATCCTTGGATGATGGTGTCGCCGTGGACGTAGTCTTTCTAGACTTTAAGAAGGCCTTTGACACTGTCTCTCACCCCATCCTCATCAATAAATTAAGTGACTATGGCATTGATGCCTATACAGTTGGATGGATAAAAAATTGGCTGATGGGGCGCACCTAGAGAGTAGTGGTGGACGGGTTGTACTCAACCTGGT